CAGTTGGCCAAGTGGTTGTTCTCCAGATTTCTTGGCACAACTTGGTGAGCACATCCAGGGCAGCATCTGTTACCTGAAATACTTCAATTTACCCGATAATTTAATGTGATCTTCTAATTTTCCTCCTCCCTGCCCTCACCCCCTTGTTCCCACCACTTCCCCTTAGATCCCCATATACATTTTGCTAGTTATCCTTTTGTATTTACAGTAATGGTCTTAGGCAGTATTTAACCTTAGGAGACTTAAGTTAGTTCACTCTGTATAAATGCCCTTTAATATCTCTCAAGTTGTGTACTAACTTTCAAAATTGTTTCTTCTGAGTGCTGGATAGTATTCCATTATGTGAATGTACCACAGTTTCTCAGTTCATTTCATTGTGGTTGGACATTTGGGCTGTTTCCATGTTCTTGAGATTATGAATAATGCTTCTGTGAACATTGGTGTAGAAATCTCTGTTTTTGTCTCACTTCTAATTTCCTTGGGGTGAATTCTTAGGAGTGGAATATCTGGATCATATGGAATTTCAATATTCAGCTTTTTGAGGAAATGCTAAGCTGCCTTCCACAGTGGTTGTACCATTTTACAATCCCACCAACAATGGGTCTGTTGACATCTGAATGTCTTTCTCTGTGAAAAATCTTTTAATGTCTTTTGCTTTTTTGTAATTGGGTCATTAGTCTTTCTCTTCTGGAGGCCCTGCAGTAACGTGTAGATTTTCTTTTCACCCTCTTAAATTTTTTTATGTGCACAGAGAATTAATCTTTAGAAGGTCCTAATCATCATTTTATCTTCTCCTGGTTGTGTATTTCTGACTGTATTTGCCATTCATTTGATACTATGGGCTAGGCCTTCTAAGCTTGGTCCCCCTTTGTCTCTTATGATCTTGATGGTTTTTGGCTTTATCCTTAGGTCTCTCATCTACACTGAGTTGTTTTTTGTGTATGGTGAGAGGTGTGGATCCCTGATTTAGCTTTCTATAGGTTGTAGTCCCATTTTACCAGCACCATTTGTTGATAGCACCATTTGATAGGTTTTGTTTCCTTGTTGAATATCAGTTGATTATAGATACTGTTGTTGTTATGTTCCGTTGAGCTGCTTGTGACTCATTGTGACCATATGTACAACAGCCCTAAACCTTGCTCTGTCCTGTGCCAATCACATTGTCTCCAACACACCTGCCTACCTCAGCCACTGAATCAATCCACCTCATAGAGGGTCTTCCCCTACTGCGCTGTCCCTCCACCCTCCCAAGCATGATGTCCCTCTCCAAGGACCGGTCCCTCCTTACATGTCCAAAGTATGTCAGACAAAGGCTCAGAATCTTTGCCTCCTAGGAACAGCCTGGCTTAACCTCCAGGATGAATCTGTTTGTTTCTTAGTAGTACATAGTATCCTCAATACTCTTCTCCAGCACCACAGCTCAAAGGCGTCAGTTCTCCTTCTCCCTAGTCATTGTCCAACTCTCTGACGCATAAAAGTCATTGCTTTTCAGTACTTTGGAGAGGTTCCTAACAGCAGACTTTCCCATGGCAATACGTCTTTTAATTTCCTGGCTACTGGTACCAAGAGTGTTGACTGTGGAGCCAAGAAAACTAAAGCTGTGAACAATCTCAATCTCTTCATCATCCATCCTGATGCTGCCAATTGGTCCAGTGGTGAGAATCTTAGTCTTCTTGACATTGAGTCTCTATCCATATTGAAGGCTTCAGTCCTTCACCCTCTGCAGTAAGTGCTTCAGTTCCTCTTCAGTTTTAGCAGGCAGGATTGTGTCATCTGCATAACACAGATTGTTGATAGATCTTCCGCCAATCCTGATGCCACACTTCTCATAGAGCCCAGCCTTTGGGATAATCTGTTCTGCATACAAATACCTTTTATAAGAAATACGTTCTGCATTGCAAATATCTTTTATAAGAAACATAAACACAGATTATACACATGGATTTTACCTGATGGTGTGCATGGAATCAGATTGATTACATTTCCAGAAAGAACTGCTGGAGAAACTCAATGTCAGCTATGAAAACTAGGCCAGGAGATCTGATTGTGGAACAGACCACCAACTACTCATACGCAAGTTCAGGCTGAAACTGAGGAAAATTAAACCGAATCCATGGGAACCAAAATATCCCTTTGAGTCTATCCCACCTGAATTTCAGAACCATCTCAGGAACAGGTTTGAGGCCTTTGAATACTAATGAGCGAAGACCAGATGAGTTGTGGGAAGAAATCAAGGGTATCATCCAGGACGAATGCACACGGTCATTACAAAGACAGAAGAGGAAGAAAAGACCAAAATGGATGTCAGAAGAAACTCAGAATATTGCACTGGAGCGCAGAAAAGCCAAAGCAGAAGGAAGAATTCAAGATACTAAAGAGCTGAACAGAAGATTCCAAAAGGCAGTGTGGGATGACCAAGTACTATTACAATGAAATGTACAGGGAGCTGGAGTCAGAAAATCAAAAGTGCTGTACTTGCTCAGCATTTCTTAAGCTCAAGGAACTGAAGAACAAATTCAAACCTTGAGTTGCTATCATCAAGGATGCTTTAGGCAGAATATTCAATGATCCAGGAAGTATTAAAAGAAGATGGAAAGAATATACTGAGTCACTGTATCAAAATGAATTGGAGACACAGAAGAATTTCATGAAACAACATATGAGCAAGATCCTATGGTGACGAAGGAAGAAGTGAAGGAAATAGGAAAAAATAAGGCCCCAGGAATAGATGGTATACCAATTGACATATTTCAGCTAACAGATGCTGCTCTGGATATGCTCACCAGGTTGTGCCAAGACATCTGGAGAACAACCACTTGGCCAACGGACTGGAAGAGATCTATATTTGTTCCCATTCCAAAGAAGGGTGACCCAACAGAGTGTGGAAACTATAGAACAATCTCATTGATTTCACATGCAAGCAAGATTCTACTGAAGATTATAAAAAAATGATTGGAACAGTGTACATAAACAGAGAACTGCCAGAAGTCCAGGCTGGGTTTAGCAGGGATCATAGTACTAAGGATATTGTAGCTGATGTTAGATGGCTCTTAGCTGAAAGCAGGGAACACCAGAAGAATGTCTATCTGTGTTTCATTGATTATGCGAAGACGTTTTACTGTGTGGATCATAACAAACTGTGGCTGACTCTGAGAAGAATGGGAATCCCAGAACAGTCGATCGTGCTAATGTGAAACCTATACTTGGACCAGGAGGCAGTTGTCAGAACAGAGCAAGAAAACACTGCATGGTTCAAAATTGGGAAGGGTGTGTTCCAGGGATGTGTCCTATCTCCTGCATGATTATAGATAGATGGGTTA